TTTTTTTTTTAACAAGCTGTTGTCGATGTTAATAGATGTATGCAGGAAGTATCTCCTGTTTTACAGCGAACCTGAAGAACTCTGGATACACTGGCCGTGTCTGATTTCATCTAATTGTTGCTGAATTAAATATATATATATATATAATTGTACTGTTAAACCCCACCAAAGGGTTTTTACAGTATGAACTCTTATCATAGGGAAGGGAAGGAGCTTCTGATTGACTGAAACACTTAAAGGGATGATGCTTGTCAAAATCTAGGATTGCAGCCTTCTGGAAAAAGAAGCTACAAGAAATTAACAAAAGGAAGAAGCTCTCTATTATAAAAACAATGGATGCTCTGATACTTATACTGATATTGTTATTGGACCAAATACAAGTTCCAAGTAGTTGTACTCGTACAAACAACTTGATACTCTGAACCGATACCACTTCTATAAGGTTGCCCGAGCTGCAGCTATCGAAACGCTCTTCCCTGTTGGAAAAAGCCCCCTATACTGCAGCTAAGCTGTACTTGATCCAAGGTAAAAGTCTGAATTTGTCGACTTAGCATTTGAAAAAAAAAAATAAGATCAAACATTTTCTATTGGACAAAGGATAGCACTTGTATCGATACTTAGTACCGACAAGTTCTAAAATATCAGTGCTTGTACTGGATTAGAAGAAATCTGGTATAGAAAAATCTCTAATGAAAACCAAAACACAGGTTCTTACAATAATGTGTCATCTGAAGCAATAATGTCTTTTTGTTATTTCCCTAAGGTGATCTGTGTCTAAATGCTGCATATAGGGTTGATGGATACCTTGTAGCTCTTTAGCACCAGTGAGTGACCTCACAAGCTCCCTTTGCTGAAGGAACTATGATAGGAAGCATACAAGCTTCTTTTCCTTCCGCTTCTTTGTAGCCATCACTACACGGACAGCACTTATCATGGCAACTGCTTTGGCTAAAGCGTGCTTACCAATTCCTCATGTTTTTCAAACCTGAATTTATTATTTATTTGTTCCTGTAATATCTTGCAGGTTCTGTCCATGAGGGAGGGCTGTTATGTTGAACCCTGATGAGCTAGAAGGTGAGGTGGATCACAGCTTTTTTGACAGTGATTGCCACGACGACAGCAATGTTGGACAGAAAACAATAGAGGAGGACTTGAAAGGGGAAAAGCAGAACCCAGGGACACATAACTGGGAACCTGCAAAACCTCCTGAACATCTTGCTGTTGAACTTTCCCCGGGGAATGAAAGAACAGCGACGCACTTGAGACAAGTGGAAATAAACAAGACGGGCCAGAAATCTGATGTATCATCTTACCCAAATGAAGCCAAACATGAAGGCTCAAATCCTCACTCTAAAAGACCCAGCGGGGCTTTTCTGGCTTTGCTGGCAAACATGCCAAACGCAGAGGAAAACCAGAGCGTAACAGAAACAGGCAAAGGTGCCTTAGCATTCACTGCCGACTCAAGAAAGAAGAATCCAAAGTCTCTTAGAAAGAAATCCAAAAATGTAGCTCCTGTTTCAAAGGAGGCCAACATAGACTCTGAGAGTTGTTGCAGCACTCAGAGTGGTAATTCACACTCCAAACCTATCAAGTCTGTACGGCGTAAAGCTAGAGGCCCAGCTGAATCCCAGGATTTGCCCAACTGGAGTACAGATGAGTCAAGCTTGGTGTCAGAGGTGACCCCCCCCTTCTCTCCTGAACCTGGTTCACAAGAGGCAGACCTGAATACAGATGGGGATGAATGTGAGTAAGAGAGACTGTTCCTTCTTTTTCTCTGATTTATTTTTAAGGCAGATGTGCAAAATGGAGACATGGTTCAACAGCTGTCGGATTTCACATAAAAATGATACATACTTGGTTATGTCAAGGTTAGTTTATCTGTTTACTTTGGAGGGAAGAGAAAACATCACTGTCTCAGAACCTTTAGATAGAAACAGATTTGGATCAACAGTCCCTGCAGCATGTGCTGCCACCACCGTGTTTGATGATGGGAATGGTGTTTTAGGTCTTATTTGAAACGACCGCCCTCTTGATCCTGTCTGCTTCTGGCTAAGTGCACACCAACATTGTCTGGCTTTTTTAAAACTCCTCTTCTAGATCGGTGAGATCAGTGAAGTGCACAAATAACTGTTTGCTTTATGAATGATTCAATTTACACATTTCAGCTTTTTTTCCCAAGAGTCTGAATACTTCAGTTATTTTTTCAATAATTGTTCAACCACAGTTAATAGTTTCCGCCATTTTCTTTAGTCATTTTATTAAGAGGTATGTGAAATAAGCGGGCAAATTATAAATGCAATCCATTGTTTACAGATATCTGTTTATTAAAAAATAAGTAAAAAACAGGAAGGATCTTATTTTCCACAAATCTGTTTAGACTTTTAATAAATTAAACTCTAAAATATTCAACTTTTTGTTGTACCATGACAAATGTAAAAAAGGGCTGTGTGACTAAAGACTGCGCTACTTGACGTATTAGTTTAGTATTTTTGTTTTCCTTAATTATTGCAGTTATTTTATATTTGAAGCATCCTTATTCTTAATGATGAAGGAACACCAGTTGGACTGATGCTCTTGCTCTCACTCAGGCTCATTTAGGTTGGAAAGTCAACTTGAGAAGAAGCTGGTGCTCCAAAGTCCAATAAGAAGGCCCGGGAAGAACTACACCTTTTCCAGAACCGAGGTCCAACGCATAGATCTTGAGAACCAACGACTTCTTCAGAGGATTTCAAATGCTTATTCAGGGATCAGATTGGAAAAAAAGGCAAGGAAGAAAATTAATGAGCCCAATATATCACCAGTGGTTTACCTCCCACACAGCGCGCTAAACCGGCAGCGTAAACAGCGCCGCATCGACGAGGAGAACCTGGTGAGTTGTTTAACATTGACTGTTTGGTACTTATTCCCCTCATTCCACATTAATTGGATGGCTTAAATTTAAATTTTAGTAACTGACATTTTCTGTTTCCATTATTAACATCAAATTAAACTTGTGAAATATTTCACCAGATTGTTAAAAACGTCTTTGGTGGATGAGGAGGAGAACAAGGTATTTGATAAAATAAAGCAAAAGGGGTTTCCTTGCATTTTCTCTTTTAAATACGAAGATCAGCATCAGACAAATAGCTTCCTTTGAATTCCTTACATGCCTTATGCACTCCAGATGGTTACAAGTGGTCCTAAATAAATGAACTGATACAATTGGAGGAGGTTAGCAAAGAGAAAGGGCTGTTGAGATCTTCAGAGAATACCATGAATGTGTGAGAGTGTCTGTAGCTGGGTCCTTAGCATCTTATTTACTCCAATTCTTTCAGACATTCCACCTGCGCCAAGCAAACAGGCTGTTAAATTTCCAGCTCTGCCAAACGTTATTTAGGGATTATAGATGGAGTAGACAGTCAAACAGAGACACTTTTCCTTCAGACATTAGCCCCATTAAGAGAAACATATACTCATTAAAAGCATCCATGGATATATAAATCACAATGATTGCAGTGAAAGGGACAATAGTAGACATAATCAGGGTTCCCGCGGGTCCTTAGAAAGTCTTCAAAAGGCATTGAATTCTTCAAAATAAAACTAAGGAATTAATTGGTATTAAAATGTCTTTCATCAGTCTTTCGTAGGTCTTAATTTTTAAAACATCATAAATAGGATTATTTTTATTATGATTTATTTTTGTAATCTAAATAAAACTTTAAAATTGACCTTTTTTTTTATTTAAAAACAATAATGGCTTGCCATTATTTGTTCCGTCGTGATAGCGGAACCGATAAAAACGGGGTTACGGCCGGGACATTTGGGAAATCCGCCATTTACCTTTTGTCTGGAAAATATGAGCAAGTGTAAATGTAACGAAAATTGGCTCCAGCCAAGAGTTTTCTCCATGGTTAAAACCAGTATCAGAGAACACACATTAGGCACAGTGTATTTTGTGCAAGAAGCGATTCAAGCTTGGAACGAAGGGAATTAAGGTAGTGGAGTCACATGCGAAGCGAGAAACACAAAGCATCAAAATCGAGTTACCGAGAAACAGCTGGTATTTCTCAGTTTTGTTTCACCCTTGTCTCTGCAACACCTCCACT